AACAACTACAATATTAATAATAATAATAATAATAGTTTATTCTAATATAGCGCAAGTAAGCAAGCTCTCAATGAGATTTGTATGCTAATAATAATTACCATAAGATTTTTTACAAATAATTGTGTATCATCTTAGTCCAACTTTCAAATTCAAATTTGAAATTTATTTCAGGAGAAGTAATAATAATAATATTAATAATAATAATAATAATAATAATAATAATAATAATAATAATAATAATAATAATAATAATATCAATTAATATAGCGTATTTTCAGGGTTCTGTTCAAAGCGCTTTACATAAAAATTTATAAAATACAATATAAAACAGGCAGCATTATACAATCAAATTACAAAAGTATTATATAGAAAAACTGCAAAAATAGACTTATAATTAATTACATTGTTAAAATAATTGAAATTTGAAAATTCAGTCAAAAAAAAATAGGCCTATTATTAATTACCTAACAAACTATAATATACAATTCTAAATGATTACAATACAATACAGATCAATTAAAAGTTTTAAATTAAATATCTACAATATTAAAAGACAATCAATTAAAAGGAAAGATAATTAAAATATAATTACTATTTTAAAATCATTGAAATTAATTACAAATTGTGGTGACCTAATAAATTAGTATTATTTACAATTACATAAAATTAAAATAAAGACATATAAAGTACATGACTCAAACAGCATCAGTACAAATCCATAAATTATAAATCAAAAAAAATATTTTAACTCTAACTAGCATCCAACTCAACATGATTCAACCGAATAAGTACAACTAACATTGGAAAGTTCATTCAAGAAATTCAACTTGAATAAGGCCTGTTACAATAGAAATAATAATACTAGCAGTATATAAAGAAAAGTGCCATTCCCATATAGAAATATATGCTGTGCAGAGTAGCTTAGGTGTTGAATAATATATGTAGGCCTAGTCAATTTTATTGATTTAGCAGAAATTGCTGGTATACACTTCTATGATTATCTAGCTGCGTTACGCGAAGAATATTATGCTTGACTTTGAATTCTCGTTAAACACTGAACCCATATACATGCATATTATATGCATATACTGTATTTTATATGCATGTATTTGCATCCGGGTATAATAATATTTATGTACGATACAATTATAATAATGGCATGCCTTTAAATTTGACACGATTGCACTGACTAGAATTGATTTATTCAATGTACAAAAAACTAACTCTTATATATATATATATCTACTTTAGGCCAATATTGCAGATTTACTGGATACGATGCCTCGTGTATTCTTAGTAAAGCGTAGGTCACAGTATGATGTAACGTTTCCAGAAGATATATTGCAAGCACAGACACCACCAGCAGGTAAACTTACATCATTTTCAAAAACATATGTATATAATATACATTTAAATTATAAACGAAACAGTTACCAAAAATCGGGGCTTTATATTATGCAAACCGGGCCTTTTTGTTAGGATTTTCAGTTGTATCCGATACATATATATATATATATTATAAAACTTTGTTACGCCTAGTTTTCAATTAAATCTTATTTCAATATTGATTTACAGTCGTCGACACAAAATCCGGTTCTTTAGTTCAAGAGTCTTCGATACACCGTCCAATTTCAACCATCAAACTCACATCTTCTAAAGTTTTTGATTTTCATGAGGTAGAAGTTTTTAATAAATGCCATTCGCAGTTTCACCAAAGTCAACATGTAGGCCTTGGGCAATTAAGATATAACGAAAGCATCTGTGAGCAAGTGAACACTTTGAAAAAAGAAGAGTCAATCAATGTAGGTCTGCCAGACTACCCGGAAGAATTTCCGAAGCAAAATGAAATTGAAATGGATAACATATCGACTTCAATGGACACACGTTTTAACAAGTTAGAAGTGAAGGATATGGATCCCGGATGCAGTTCAAAAGAAGGCTTGTTTCCCGGGGAGAAGTATTTGCGTCAAGGCACAACTCAATCAAGTTTCAATCCTGTGCTTAAGGCGTGGAAATCGTCCATTCCTCCAGAGTACGTCTCTGAAATCTTAGCCAAACAGAGACAACGAATCCTTGCTAAGCATGTAGTTAACATCCAAAAAGGATTTTTTGATTTGAAGAAGGTGAGCCGAAGAGGACGCAATAATGCAAGACAACCAATACCTGGGCTTGAATACATACAAAATGGCACTGACATGCATTATAGAAATATCACATCAACGCAATTATCTTCATATTCGACGGATAGTAATAGCTTGGAAAGGGCCAAGACAACGGATGGAGATCTTAATGAGTCAGATGGGAAACAATCCCAGCAGAGAAAATACGTCTGTGATATCTGCCATAAAGGATTCAGCAGAAGCAATACACTTGTCACTCATAAGGTAAATCGTATCTCCAAGTGTGTTTCTCTAACCTTAATAACAGTAAAAAAGGAGAATAACTCATATGAGTCATTTGGCGAAACTGGTGAACAGTAGCCGCTGTACGTGCGATGTAC